TCTTTCTGTCAAGATTTCCACATTTTATTCAACTTATCACTTTTCACCTCTTCAATATTTTCCACAAACTCTTCCAAAATCTACACAAAAATTAAAAAAAAATGATTAATGCAAAAACACTCACTTATGATTTACATGTTAATGACATGTGATTCATATGTGAATTACATGTGATTCATATGTGATTTACATGTGAATCACGTGTAATTTATATGCGAATTATATGTTATTTACATGTGAATCACATGTAATTCATATGTGAGTCACTAGTAAAGAACACTCACACAAATGCATGTGTTCATATAGTCGTTATTCATACGTGATTCACTTGTGATTTATAAGTGAATCACATGTGATTCATATGTGAATTACATGTGAATAACATGTAATTCATCAAGATGGATTTCCCCAAGGATTAAACTTTATGTGTTAGTAAAATATTATCTAGAAAACAGCAAACTACAGAAAAGAAAAGAAAAGAAAATTTAATCATACATTTGAGATGGAAGTTTTATGGGTGAAAAGGAGGTTGAAGTTTTAAACATCATGTGATTGAAGCAATGTATCTTCATCAGCTACGTAAATAACATCAAATTGCCATTGTAATCTAATCAAATTCCCATTGACCAAGATAAGAAATTTTATATCTGGACAACTTTGTGGATGATATGATATACAACTACCATTATTTGCTAAGTTCGGATAACAATTGTTTAGTTCTTGTATATGATGTAGAACTCATCAAATTTATTAGATTATTCAGATATCCAATCCACTCAACTATTACTTATAACAAGTTCTTAATACTTTTGTTTTAACTACATCATCAAAGATTTTTAATGATGATTTTAACAATAATCTAGCACAAAAAATTGGTTGTTAAGTTCATTGAGGACTTTAATCAAACAGTTGGTGTATGATCAGAAAATCGGTTGTTAACTTAGAAAGAAAACATACAAATCATGAAAACCAGGAAAAAAACTCAAGAACACCATGATATGAAGCGCAAAGACGGATTAACCTCATGATTTGTCAATTGCACACTAGCCATTGACATTTGAAGCTTGTTTCCCATCTTAAGAAAGCACACTATCCATCACATATAAACAAAAACTAGATGTGAAAGTATGACAACCAGCTACAAATGGTGAAAAAACTGAAAAACGGACATGTGACATAGTTGGACCTCATGGTAAAACCCACATGGAAAGAGTGGCCGAATAGGGAGATCAATTAACCGACCACATAGAAGTTCTCGCTCTTTTGGAGCACCTTCTCTTAGTATATATGTTTCGAGAATCACTCCTTGAGCAAACTATTTCTCTTGATAATTAACCTAAATCAGAAATTAAAATGAAAGCCTCTGTCAAAAAGTTATACAATTTGGAAAATGAATACAAACGAAAAGGAAGGAGATATACGTATAGTGAGAGGCAAAAAATCGCGGACACCATCGCATTTAGTTGAGCAAATTGTGGAGAGTACTTTAGTATCGTCGATGCCTAATACAACAGCACCATTGCGAACCTTGTGATCTTTCCTGTTTCAAACATGAGTAGGCATGATCCAATTTCAAATTCTTCTTTGAAATTTATGTATCTTCCGGCGAAGGGGAAGTGGAAGTTGACGTCGTGAAGCTGAGGCGGCTAGTGGTGATTGCACGATGGGAAATAATTTGGATCGATTGTGGATCTAGATCTGAAGGCGGGAAGCAGTCGACACGGAAAAACGTGAGCGAGGAGGCCCTCATTGGAGGCGATGCGATGGTAGGAGGTGGGATGAGAGGGGGGGGAGGTGGGATTGACGTGATTCAATCTGCTGATTAGGATATGAATTACATGTTCACTAAAATGCCCCTGCTTTATTTAATTATGATGCCCCCTGTCCTTTTTTTCCAAGTATTTACGAAAGTGCCATAAAGCATCCTAACCTTTTATTATTTTGATTTAACGACCCTCGTTTGGTTCTCGGGAAACCTTGAGTTCTCAAATGATCTTTCATCTCCCTTTCTCTCTCTCTCTCTCTCTCTCTCTCTCTCTCTCTATATATATATATATAGGTTTAGGTTCTATGGAAAACAAAAAACCCTAAAAATCATTAAAATGCATAAAAAAATACTTAAAGATCACAAAACTTTTTTTTGAATTTTTTTTATCAAAAAATCGCAACTTTTAGGTCAAAATCGCTGAAAACAAATTTTGAAAAAAAAAATTTACAAAAAAAAAAATTGATTTTTTATTTTTTTTCAGCGAAATTGTAAAAAATGCTGTGATTTTTTGATAAAAAAATTCAAAAAAAA